CGTTGAATAAGTGGGATCGGATTACGCTAGATGGCGTTAGAAAGATAAGATTTGTGGGAATATGTGACTCAATGGATAAGTCAGAGTTCTCTTAACAAGCCCACGCTTGTCATGTGATGTGATAAAGAAAATATTAATCGAGACTTAATTTGTAATTGTAAATATAATATTTATTTCACGAGCACAATTTTATATGACCGTACAGGACGAACACCTCTATTGATCTGTTAATATAATATTTATTTTTTTATTTTTTTACGCTGCTAGGCAACTCGTTACTAACACAATCTTTAAGCTTACTACGCTCGCTGCGCTAGTGAGGCTTTAAGAATTCCCCACATACTCCCCCCCGAGTGATAACGAATCCGGCAGTTTTGTGATTGCTTGACTCAGTATTGTTTGAGCGCGCGTCAAAGATGGATACCAGCAAAGAGAAAATACGCCATATTTTACAGTTTTTCTTCGATAAAGGCGAAAAGCAAGCCAGGCGGCTGAAAATGTGAAGTGTTTATGGTCCTAATGCTGTAACAGCCAATCACGCACAATTTTGGTTTCGTCGATTCCGTTCCGGTAATTGATGTCAAAGATGCACCACGCTCTGGAAGACCAATTGTCGAAAATGTCGATAAAATAATGGAAATCGTCGAGTCCAACCGTCATGTAAGCACTGTTTCGATTGCCCAGGAGCTAAACATTGCACAAAAAAACCGTTTGGAACCACTTGAATAAGGCTGGATACAAAAAGAAGCTCGATGTATGGGTGCTACACGAGTTAATGCAAAAAAACCTCATGGATCGAATTTCCATCTGCGAATCGCTGCTGAATCGCAAGAAAATCAATTCATTTCTGAAGCGGATGGTGACTGGTGATGAAAAGTGGGTCACTTATGACAACGTCAAGCGAAAACGGTCATGGTCGAATGAGCCGACGCAAACGTGGGATTGGCAGGGAATCATCTACTATGAGCTGCTCCCCTAAGGCTAAACTCTTAATTCGGACCTATACTGTCAACAATTGGACCGTCTGAAGGAAGCAATCGCCCAGAAGCCCAGCGGCCAGCGTTGGCCAATAGGAGAGGAATTGTGTTCCATCAGGACAATGCAAGACCTCACACATCGACTCGCCAGAAGCTCCGGGAGCTTGATTGGGAGGTTCTTATGCATCCACCTTATAGTCCGGACCTGGCTCCAAGTGATTCTATCTGTTCCTGTCTATGAATGATTTTGCTGGTGAAAAATTCTGTGAAAAATTCGCCTCAAGAGAAGCTTGTGAAAATCGACTGTCCCAGTTTTTTGCCAATAGGGACGAGGGTTTCTATGAGAGAGGCATAATGGAATTATCTTCAAAATGGCAACAAGTTATCGAACAAAACGGTGCATATTTGATCTAAATCGGATCATTCTAATTATATTAAAGCCTTCAATTTCATGCAAAAATAATGGATATCTTATTACTACACCTTATATATCATAGAAATGACACAGAGATTATAATTTCATTATATTATTTCGTTTATGCAAATTTATATTTACTTTTTAATAGTAAAATTGTGCGAGAGCGAATCAGAGCGAGAGCGCTGACGTGAAATTTTTGCGGATATTAAATGCGGTCACCTTTTCCAAATTGCATTTGGAATCGCGGTGATGGAAAATCTCGGCGATTTTCTCGGCACTTCTCGAAAAGATTCGTTTTATAGCGGTTTTCACTAAGCGGTTAGCACGGCGGTTTTATGAAGCGATATAGTAGCGAGACTATGACTCTAAGAACTCTAAGAACTTTTAGAAGTAAGAACTCTAAGAAGTCTAAGAACTCTAAGC